ACCCAGCTCCCTTCCAAACCTGGGAGCAGCCATTCTGCAGGCAGCTCCGCACCCGTTTCATTCTAGGCTCCAGAGGCGTATGCATTTTCTACCCATCAAACTACCGATTCCCATCCTATTTGCAATTTTCAAAGAGAACAACTCCTCTTATCTGTTTGTAAGAAAAAGGAAGAGATAAAGCATTCCTTTCACTCTGAATAAACCTAACAGAACACTTTTCAACTCTTCATATGACTTTCCTCTTCCTAAAAAACTTTAAGCCTGTGTTCCTAAACTCTGCCTTCCAAATTATCATACCCTATTATTAATAATACTCTTATTTCTATCAAAGTCTGCCTTTATAGCATTTGGTTTGTTAAATATGTATCAGCTGATGTAAGTATCATTTAAGACCGTAACTGTTTTTAACAATGAGATCAAAGAAAATAAATAATCACAATTTATAGGAGACTTGCAAACTTCTCCATATTCTTGATAATTAAAACTTTTCTTTGGAGAAAATCTCAAAAGAAACTTGTTTATTGATCAGCATTTTTACCTAAATAGCACTAGGCTAGATTATGTATTTCAGCCATAAAGCTGAAAAACAATTCTATCTAATGTGTATCAGTTTTTCACCCAAACAACCACATTGCATTCTATAGATCACTTATGATGGAATTTTTAAAAGTACAGTAAGCAGAAACTCCCCAGATGGTAAGGTGCTTTGTTGTTCTATGTGACATTCTCTTCACAAATCTACCTTTATAAACAGGCTATCAATTTAGTGAACACCAAACTTTACAATTTATGACTTCTTGAAATGTATCATGCTAGTGATACATGCTCACCCATGTTTATAGTGGCATAAGCAGTTTGTAATAGCTAATACTTGGAGATAGCCCATTTGTCTATCAATTGGAGGCTGGATAAAGAAGCTGTGGTTTTTTCTATAAAGTGGAATACTACTCAGCCATCAAGAATGAGAAATTAGGGCTGGGGATTTAGCTCAGCAGTTTGGTGGCCTGCCTTGCAAGCACAAAGACCCAAGTTCAATCCCTTGTACCAAAAAAAAATGAGAAATTAGAGTCATTCATAGGAAAATGATTGCATATTGAGGTCATACTCTTAAGTGAAATCAATAAGACACACATGTATAAATACCAAATAGTTTCTCTGGTGTGAAAAATTAAAAGTGTAAATAAGATCCAAATGATACAATTGACAATGTGAAATAGGAAGAAAAGGGCTAAAGGTATAGGGGAGTGGGAAGGGTAAGGGAAAGGAAATAAAGGAAAAGAAAAAAATATGAGAAAGTGAAAAAAATGGAAAAAAAGTTTTTGTAAATAGGGAAGGGAGGAGGGAGTGAAGGGAGGGCAGGGGTATGGGGAAAAAATGTCATGTAGAGGTACAAGATCCCAATGATGAATATAACTGTACTGTATACCTAAAAAGTACCAATAAACTCAATGAAAAAAATAAAATAAAGTGTACCATGCTTTCTCTTCTTTTTTGTTGTCTATTTTTTCTTTTTAATAATGATTTTAAGACCTTTTATCTCTTAAAATTTATATCTCTCTTTGTCTTTTTCAGTAGAGATATTTTCTTATCTTTGTCAACTGCTAACTCATCAGAAGACTAAAAAATGTTTCCCTTCCTAAGATCTTTCCCTTCGGCTTCTTCAGAGATTTATGGAGGACTCAAACTTTATGCAGAGCTGTAGCCAGAGGAGATTTTATCATCTCATCTACATTTGTTCTGAAGCAATAACCTAGGAAAGAAGGCCCATAACAAAGACAAATATCAGAGGAGAAGATAACACTAAAGTGGTAAGAAAGGAGACAGAAAAGAGAAAGCAGCCGAAATAAAGAAAGTGTTTGCATTACAACATTAAGGTGGGCAGAATGTGAATTGTTCTGGTGACTATTTAAATACAAAATCATATTTCTGTAGTCGGATGGACCTAAACAAACAGCTACGCCCCCTTTCCCACTTCACCAAAACCATCACTCAGATGTTTGAGGCACCACTTCAATTAATTCACAAGTGTATTCACCTGCTGAATTTTATAGGCAAAGAAAGGCAGATAGCATGGATCAAAGTCCTGTGAAAATTAATCTGCTTACAAAATCTTCTCTAATGCATGACAAATGCTGCTTCAGATTCTGAGGGTAAATCTATTAGGGAAAAATAGATTCAAGGTCAGAAACTAACTCTACTTACACATCCACTTCACCTACCACTTTTCTGAAAGTGCTGTGGCCAAAATCACCGATACTACTCTAATTGTTAAATTCAGAGGCCTATGTTCACCTTCCACCTAGTTTTATTTCTCTGCAGCATTAAAAAATATGATTTAATCCCTCCCCAAAACTGTACTTTTTCAAAATAACTAGAAGAGTTGAGAAATTTCTAATAAAAGAAAAGATGGGAGAAGTGACAGTACAAGAAAAGACAATGTTCTATTTAACCAGCAACTAAAGTCAATAAGTAATAATAACAAAGGGAAGAAAAGTACAATTGCAGCTCCAAAAAGAAATGTGATTTGGGGGGTATGTACAATGAATTTCCATGTATCCTTTATCTAACTTCAATGATCATCTCTTGAACTACTATGAAAAAATTCTGAGATATAAAACATCTTTATATATTTTTAGATCTCTGCCCCGATTTGATATTACACATCATATATACATGGTAAATTATCACACTGTGCCCTGTAAAATAAATATGTCCAATTATTTTGTGTCAGTTTAAAATGTTAGAAAAAAACTGCACCTTCTTTTTAATCCCTGGAAAACATTTATATTTCTATACCATATCTCTTACCATTCCTTCTTTGTGCTTTTCATTAATGCTGACGTTCTCCAGAATTTCTTTGATCTTCTCACATTCTGAGTAATATTTCCACATGTTGACATGCACATTTCAATTTTAACAAGCAACCCTAGGCTGATAGCCCTCTAATCAGTCATCGAGGGACAGAAATAAATTCTTTTTGTCAACTTTGTGTCCTATTGTGACCCTCACCTTAACCAGAATGTCAGCACGTGCTAACATCTTTCTCTCCATACTTGTTCTTCCTCTCATAATTTAGATTGTAAGTAATAGCATTCTTTTATTTTTCATTACGTTTATTGGTACATGTAAGGTAAACAATACAGTTACATTCATCATTGGGACTTGGTACCTTTTCAGGATATATCTTGGTTTTTATTTTTTCCCCATTCCCCTGAGTAATAGCATTCTTGAATACCAGCTCTCAGATGGAAACCAGATTTCTTCTTTGACCTGTGTCTCATTTGCCTTTCACATCCTTTCTTTTTCTCTCATTTGCTCACATTTTGAATCTTTAATGTTACTGCCTATTAAGATTGAAAAGAGACATAAAACTTTCAATCCTACTGCTAAAGATCTATTGTACAGAAAGAAAACCATCTGCATGTAAGAACATATTGCCTATCTAGGTTCTTGGTTCTTCATTACAAAGCAGGAAATGGTTGATTTTGAGGCAACTGGCAGCCCTAACAGCAAACTGGCCTTGACAGAGGAGTAGTGAAACCTCACTCCCCACAACCACCAGAAGTACTAGCTCTGGACCTCCCACTTCTTGAGACATTCAACAGTCGCCCTTGAGACACAGGGAGATATCACCCAGGATGGATTCAAAAGATGGTGCTCAGTGGAAAACCTATCCTCTCTTGCCTCTATTCAGAATGGTCCTAAAGGACTCACAGATCCTATGCTTCTGATGGGGTTGGCTAAGGTTTCTCCTATTATAAAGATGATGTCTCAATTAAAGTCCTGCTCTCAAACCTGATTGGCACTCACAGACGTAGTTCCCAGGGGCACTTTGTAATATGCTGTTCTCATGCCAACTTCTGCCTCAGGGTCTCTTTCCCAGGGAACCCAAGTCAGTGCAATAGTGATTGTTTATATGTTACTACATGCAAGAACACTTTCAAGTGCTTCATATCTCAAAATTTACTTAATCTTTACAAAATCATTATATAGTAAGAACCATTATTATCTCTAAGAGCACATGAGTGCTAAGTAGTACAGCCAGGATTTTAATGTATGTTACTGAGTCCATGCTCTTAACTATAAAACCTCCCTTGCAGGATTAAATATATTGTTGGTCATTGTTTTTCCCCCCTGGTACCGGGAATTGAACTCAGAGCCTTGTGCTTACCAGGCAGGCACAGTGCTGCTGAGCTACAACCCCACCCAGTCATTGTTCTTTAAAAATTAAAAAGAAAAAGAAAATATAGTATCAAAGGATATATGAAGTGATCTGGAAGAGAGACAGCACAGCAAATATGAAGGAATTCACAAGCCCATTTTGACCTAAAGAAAGTGACCTACAACACAATCAGAAAAACTAGGCGGAGAGAGTCCTCTGTAGATGACTTTCTTCATAGTTGAGTAAAATTGGCATTGTGGAATATCAGTATAAGCTTTCCCACTCTGAACCTAATGTATGCCTGTTCAAGCAACTCAAAAATGTTTTCTCTGTCAAGTTGCAAAAGCAATTCTGGCAATAAATGTTGTCTGTGCCTTGAAAATGACTTTGGAAGGCAATAGCTCAGTGTACCAGGCCAGTTCTTTGGGTTTTAAGGTACTGGTGTGTTTCCTGGATGTCTACCTAAATAAGCTCCTTTGGAAAATCCCCATGAGAACCTGAGTTTTTTCGAAGCATTCTAAATTTTGAATCATTCACCTTTGTGATGCCAGGTAGCGCTCTGTTCATCTCAATGAGCCTGAGTCCTCCACCTCAATGATCCTGACCATATGTTAGCTAATCGCGGAATATGTAATTCTAATTCTAAAAGAGGCCTTGGTAAGTCATGCATGTCTCACTTTTTAAGGCTTCTATTTATGCCCCCCCTCCTGACACCGCCTTTGTGACAGGTTTCCCCATACATCTGAGAGCTCTTTAAAGACCTTCAGGCACTTGGATTCTTCCACTGCACTAGGCTGCCGGGGTCAAGGGTCAAACCAGCAGATGATTCCATGGCAGTTTGTAGACTTAACATAGAAGTGGTGAAATAAGGAAGTGGTCTCTATTCCATAGGCTACTTTGGTTTCTGCCAGCAGCCAATGCCTTAGCCATAACTAAAAGTACAGAGTTAGCTCTTCTTCCTGTGAGTGATCAAAACAGGAGAGAGATATATGAAATGTGGGTGGTGGTCTCATCAGAAATCTCCACTCTCATATGTCAAAGAGAAATATTCAGACCACCAACCTACTCTTCTCCTCATGGGCGGTAGTTTCATTGATGGTAGGCGTTTTCTTGGAAGAATGGGTTGAATTAGTTCCAAAAATTAAAAAGGACAAGATTAGCCGCAGTCCATGGATGACATGCTGCAGTACCATTTGGCCAGAAGGTCAGAATGATGAAAAGTGATGGGTGGAGAGGAAGGTTTTATTTTTCCTTGCCTGTGATCATCTCACCAATTTATCCATTATTCTTTGGAGCAACTTTCACAGGCTGCAGGATGCCCCTTTCATTATCAATAGAGTCATAGCAGATTTCAAAGCTTCACAATGTAGGTGACTGAGAGAAGAGATAGACACTCACAGACTTAGTTGCTGAACATCTGAGAAATCCTGTCAGCATTATCAGTGTGATCAGCACAGCTAGAATATGGGGGGCATGAAAATAGGTAACTGGCAGAAGGAAAGTAAGTTATTCTGCGATTGGAAGAGGACAGAATAAATTGAAGAATTTACAGGAAGTGAGGTCTGAGAAAAGAGCAGATGGAAGCTTAGAGAGACACCAAGAAAGAAAACAGTCTCTTATTCTTTCATGCAGTTTAAAGATAGATCTCTGCCTTTTTGCTCTTTTCCCCCATCTTCTCTTATTATCTCATCAATTTCACCTGATCCCATTTTTACCTAGACATTCGTGGAATCCAGGTATGAGACTAGAAGAAATATCTGTCTTCTCAACACATCTTCTGCTTTCCAACAGATAGCCTGAAAGTGGTCAGGATCATGATGATGTTGGCCCTCTGCCTTTCCTTCTTTCTTAACTTGATCCTGGGTATACAATACACTTATATGATTCCTCGGAATAAATACATGCACTTCATCATTGCCTTCATCTGTTTCCTCACAGGTAACTTCCTGGCTACCCTAATACAGATGTATTCATGTGTATATATATATATAAATGAGTCAGAGCTAGCACTAAAGTGGGCTCAGTCTTTGGACAAGGTGCACTCAAACAGGGTGGAGCTGGGAGTATGGTGTATTTTGAGTGAAAGCTTAAGTAAAGGAGTCAAAGTTCCTGAGAAAGGACTTTTTTCTCCTCTTTTTGGACACCAGGTTGCCTTCTGCTTGGTACATTAATACTATGTCATATATATATAAATGAGTCAGAGCTAGCACTAAAGTGGGCTCAGTCTTTGGACAAGGTGCACTCAAACAGGGTGGAGCTGGGAGTATGGTGTATTTTGAGTGAAAGCTTAAGTAAAGGAGTCAAAGTTCCTGAGAAAGGACTTTTTTCTCCTCTTTTTGGACACCAGGTTGCCTTCTGCTTGGTACATTAATACTATGTCATCATAAGCTAAAGCAAGGTCAGGCCTTGTACTTCTCTAGTTTCAAGACCACGTGGGTTCCTTTCACTGCCTACTTAGCCGCTGTCTTCTTTATTACTTGTAGTGAGTGTCTACAGGGCCCTTGAAGAGTGAATAGAACCAGGGGGGTGGGAGAGGGAAAGATGCCAATGACCTTGCATTTGAAAAAGTTAAATATTTCCTTGACTCATTTTCTGTGGACAGCTCCTACAAGACCAGGAAACCAGGCCTGGGTGAAGAGTTTGTTATGCCTTCCTCAGCAAGGGAGCATAGCTCCTAACCTCTGATTTTTCTTCTGACTTTCATTCCTTCCCACTTTATGGCAGAGATAATCATCAAAATTGCTACCAAGAGTAGTGGCTGAGCCAAGATATCCATTTGGGGGAGGGGCAGTGACCCTGGAAATACATCATAATGCCAGGGTGGTTTGAGGGCAGAGAGAAGCAGTATTTGATACTAAAAGGCCACCTACCCAATGGGAATTGCACTTCCTAACCCAGATAGAAACTGTCCTCTGTCAAAAAGAATCCTCAAATTCCTTGAACACATACTTCCACTATTTTCCATGAAAGTATTTCCTTCCAGGATGGCTTGAACTAGGTGACAGGAATCCACTAGGCTTTGGGTTGGGGTCTTCTGCCACTATTTGTGCTTCTCCATTGTTCTTTCATCCTGGTCCTTTGCTTCCCCTCTCCCTAGGTTTTCTCTGTCTCGTACAGTGCAAGCAGCCCATCCATAGTCGCACCTGCCGGAAAATCCACCCATCTGATGAACAGTGTAGTGATAAACAGCTCTCCGGGCATTCTATCCAAGTTATCTCACTGCCAGAGAGCACTGCAGTGCCACGGAGCATCGTCCACACACCCTTGCAGGACTCAAAGAAAGATGCTGTGAAAAAAGATCATCTCCAGAAACGTCATGTGACGTGGGCTCTGTGACTGAACAGTCTGTCATCCATACCTGGCCATCTTCACGGATGCAGCATCTTGAGCATGCACAGTGCTGTGCATCTCCAGCCCCTTGGTCTGGGTTTGGCATTCCAAAGTGACTGTGAGTGGGCTGGGCTCCATAAAGAGATCCAGAAAATGGCTTTTGGAAATCCTGACACGCTAAACAAATGCCTTCTTCTGCAGTACTCGTTATTAATATGATAAATATTTAAATAACACTTGCTGCATTGTTAACTCTATGTAGAAAAAAAGATTTATAATGGTATTGTACTTTCTATTTTATTGTGCAATGCACATTTTAATTAGCACGTTTGTGAGACCTAATAATTACACTTACCTTGGAGAATATATACATAAATTTCACATTTGATCATTTTGTTACTTCCCCTTTCCATACCAACTCTCCTCCCCTCTCCCACCTTTTCCAGATCCTTGTCATCTCCATAGAGTCTACATCCCTATTTCCTACCATTTCTCTTTTATTTTGCTATTTAAGTTATTTATATTTTGAATTCCTTATATTAGAGAAACCATACACTATTTAGCTTTTGGTTTCTGATTTGTTTCTCTTAGCATTATGGTCTCAAGTTTCATCCATTCCCTGCAAATGATTCAAATTTACCCTTCTTTATGACTAAATATTATTCTTTTGTGTACAGATACCATGTCTTCTTTGTCCATTAACTTTTTTGTTGATGAGCATATAGGAAGCTTCCATAATTTAGCTCTTGTGAATTATGCTGCTATAAACATGGGTATGGAGGTTTCACTGTAATATGACAATGTTATCTGTATCAGGAAGATACTCAGAAGAGGTGTAACTGAGTAAAATGGAATTTGTCATTTTAGCTTTTTGAGAAACCTTCATAATGATTACCATAGTGGTTTCAATAGTTTATACCCCCTACAAAAATTTAGAGGAGTTCCTATTTCCCCAAAACCTCACCAATATTTGGCTATTTTATTTGTATTTATGTGGCTTTCTGTTGGTTTGTTGGTTTGTTTTTTGAAACAGAATCTCACTGTATAGTTCAGGCTGGCCTTGGACTCACTATGTAGTCAGGCTGCCCTTGAACTCAAGGTGATCCTTCTGCTTCAGCCTCCCAAGTGTATGATTATATGTCTGTCTGTGTTTGCTATTTTTTAGTCCTTGATAAGAGCCATTCTAACTGGAGTAAGGAGGAATCTCAGTGTCGTTTTCATTTGCATTTCTCCAATAACCAAACATTTTTTCATGTTCTTCTTGGCCATTTGTACTTCTTTTTTTGAGAAGTGCTATCATTGTAAATGACCACTTGTGATGGGGTAATTTATATTATTAGAACTCTAATTTTTGGAGTTCATTATACATTCTAGATACAATTCCTCTGTTAAAAGAGTAACTGGAAAAATTTTTGTCATTCTGTAGGTTGTCTCTTCACTCTGTTCTTTCTTTCCTTTAATCTTCAGAAGATTTTTAATATGATATGATCTCATTTGTTGATTCTTGGTATTATATCTTGTAAATCTTTGCCTGTCCCTATGCCTTTAAGAGTTTAATCGAATTTTCTTCCAGTAGATTCAGCATTTCTGCTTTTATATCTATGTCTCTGATCCTTTTTTCTATGATTTTATTACAGAGTGAGAGGTATGGATCTAGATTTATTCTTCGGCATATGAATAACCTGTTTTCCCAGCACCATTTATTAAAAAGAGGCTATTTTTTCCAACATTCATTATTGGTCACTTTATCAAAAAATAGGTAGTGAAAGATGCTGGGTATTATTTCTATTCCATTGGTCAACATATTTGTTTTTTGTGCCAAAACTGTGCTGTTTTTATCACCTTAGTTTTATAATATAACTTAAAGTCTAAGGTTGTAATCTTTCCTATTTTCCTCTTCTTGCTTGGGATCCTTTGGTTATTCTGGGTTTTCTCTTGTTCCATATAAATTTTAGAATTGTTTTTTCTAGTCCTGTGAAAGATGCTGTTATTATTTTTATTGGAATTGCATTAAATTTATACATCAGCCTTTGGTAATATGACATTTTAACAATATTGGTCCTGCTTATCTGAGAACAAAGGATGTCTTGCCATTTTCTGGCATCCTCGTCCAATTTTTTTTTTCTTTTTTTTTAGAGCACTACAGTTTTTGTTATGGATGTCTTTCACTTCCTTGGTGGGACTAATTCCTTGGTATTTGACTTTCTGAAGTTATTATGAATGGGACTGATTTACTGATTTCTCTCTCAGGGTTCAATGTTAGTATATGAGAATGCTATTAATTTTTCTGTGTTGGTTTTATATCTTGCTACTTTGCTGAATTTATTAGTTCTAGAATACTTTTGGTGGAGTATTTTTGGGGAGTATTCTATGTAAAGGATTGTATCATCTGCAAATGAGGATACTCTGACTTCTTTCATTCTTTTACATATGTTTTTTTTTAATTTCTCTCTTTTGCCTGCGTGTTCTGACTAAGGTCCCAAGTACGATATTGAACAGAAGTTGTAGTAGTGGACATTCTTCTCTTTTTCCTAATTTTTTACAGTGCTTGCTTTTCCACTTAATTTTTCCCACTTAGCATGATGTTGGCAGTGGCTTTTTTCAATTCGAGGTAAGGTTCTTCTATACCTATATTTATCAGAGTTTTTATCATAAATAGATGTTGAATTTGTCAAAGGCTTATTCTACACTTATTGAGATGATCATATGGTTTTCATCCTCATATTTATCTATGTAGTGTATTACATTTATTGATTCATATATGTTAAACCATCCTTGCTTCACTGAGAGGAAGCCAACTTGGTCATGATGTATGATGATCTTTCTAATAATTTGTTGCATCTGTTTACAAGTAAGCAGCTTATTCAGGATTTTTCCACCTATGTTCATTAAAGAAATTGGCAATTGCTCTTTTTGTTGTGTTGAGTCCTCATCTGGTTTTGGTATCAAGGTAATACTTTTATTACTATCTCTATTTCATTCCTTGTTATTAGTCTATTCAGG